GTGTGGGGTCACCTCCATGTCCGTCCCCCCCATATCCCCCCCAGTGCTCCCCATATCCCCCCAGTAACCCCCCCATGCCCCCCATATCCCCCCATATCCCCCCCAATGCCCCCCATATCCCCCCCGTAACCCCCCATGCCCCCCCATGTACCCTTCTGTGCCCCCCATGTCCCCCCATGTCCCCCCCATGTACCCTTCTGTGCCCCCCATGTCCCCCCATGTACCCTTCTGTGCCCCCCATGTCCCCCCATGTCCCCCCATGTCCCCCACATGTACCCTTCTGTGCCCCCCATGTCCCCCCCATGTACCCTTCTGTGCCCCCCATGTCCCCCCATGTACCCTTCTGTGCCCCCCATGTCCCCCCAATGTCCCCCCATGTTCCCTCCTTGTCCCCTCTATGTCCCCCATGTACCCCCCCCATATCCTCCCAAGTTCCCCCCCTATGCCCCCCCATGTCCCCCCCCAATGCCCTCCCCTATGCAGCCCCCATATCCCCTCGGTACACCCCCGTGCCCCCTATGGACCCCCAATGATCCCCCCATGTCCCCCCCAAGTCCCCCCTATGCCCCCCCATGTACCCCCTATGCCCCCCATACCCCTGCATGTGCCCCCCATGTCTCCCCAATGTTCCCCCCATGTCGCCCCTATATCCCCCCCATCCCCCCTATGCCCCATGTTCCCCCCCATGCCCCCTCCATGTACCCCTCCATGCCCCCCATATCCCCCCCATACCCCCCATTCCCGGCCCCACACCCCCCCCCATGTCCCCCCTCATGCAACCTATATCCCCTCCATGTCCCCCCCCCACACCCCCCCATATTCCCATGCCCCCCCATACACCCCATACCCCCCCATGTCTCCCCCATGTCCCCTCCATACCCCCCTCCATACCCCCTCATGTCCCCCACATTCCCTCCCGATTTCCCCCCCCATGTCCCCCCCATTCCCCCCCATACGCCCCCATGTCCCCTCCATACCCCCCTCCATAGCCCCCCATGTCCCCCACATTCCCCCCCATGTCCCCCCCATACCCCCCCATTCCCCCCCATGTCCCCCCCTATGTCCCCCCCATACCCCCGCATGTCCCCCCCATTCCCCTCCATGTGCCCCCCCATTTCCCCCCCCATACCCCCCCTATGTGCCCCCCGTACCCCCCCATGTCCCCCCCTATGTCCCCTCCATACCCCCCCATACTCCCCCCATACCACCCCATGTCCCCCTGCATGTCCCCTCCATATCCCCCATTCCCCCCCCATGTCCCCCACATGTCCCCCCCATTCCCCCCCATGTCCCCCCCATGTCCCCCCCATGCCTCCCATACCCCCCCATGTCCCCCCCATACCCCCCCATGTCCCCCCATTCCAATCCATGTCAACCCCCATTTCCCGCCCCATACCCCCCCCTGTCCCCTCCATACCCCCCATGTCCCCCCCCCATACCCGCCCATATCCCCCCCATGTCCCCCCCCATTCCCCCTCCATACCCCCCCATGTCCCCTCCATACCCCCCTCCATACCCCCCTATGTCCCCCCCATGTCCCCCCCATCCCCCCCCATGTCCCCCCCATGTCCCCTCCATACCCCCCTATGTCCCCCCCATGTCCCCCCCATCCCCCCCCATGTCGTCCCCCCCATTCCCCCCCATGTCCCCCCATGTCCCCTCCATACCCCCCTCCATACCCCCTATGTCCCCCCCATGTCCCTCTCCATGTCCCCTCCATACCCCCCATGTCCCCCCCATACCCACCGATACCCCCCATACCCCCCCCATGTCCCCCCCCATGCCCCCCATGCCCCCCCCGGCACCAGGGCAGCAGGGCCTCTCGCACGCTCTCAGCTCCCAGTCCCTGGGCTCCTCGTCCCCCGTGGGGCTGCGGCTCCGGCCCCGCCGCTGGGTCCCCTCCCCACAGCTCACGGAGCAGCCGGCCCAGGGCCCCCAGGGCCCCCAGGAGCCCCTCCTGGGATGTGGGGGGAGAGGGGACCCGATGGCACCCAATGGTATCCAATGGATGCCAATGGCACCCAATGGAACCCAATGGAACCCAATGGAACCCAATGGCACCCAATGGAACCCAATGGAACCCAATGGCACCCAATGGAACCCAATGGTACCCAATGGCACCCAATGGTACCCAATGGAACCCAACGGTACCCAATGGCATCCAATGGCACCCAATGGTACCCAATGACATCCAATGGTATCCAATGGATGCCAATGGCACCCAATGGTACCCAACGGTACCCAACGGTATCCAATGGTACCCAATGACATCCAATGGTATCCAATGGATGCCAATGGCACCCAATGGTACCCAACGGTACCCAACGGTATCCAATGGTACCCAATGGCATCCAATGGCACCCAATGGTACCCAACGGTACCCAACGGTATCCAATGGTACCCAATGGCATCCAATGGAACCCAATGGTACCCGATGGCACCCAATGGTACCCAATGGAACCCAATGGATGCCAATGGCACCCAATGGCATCCAATGGCACGCAATGGCATCCAATGGCACCCAATGGCATCCAATGGTACCCAGTGGTACCCAATGGTACCCAATGGCATCCAATGGCACCCAATGGCATCAAATGGTACCCAACGGCACCCAATGCTCCCTACATCACCCAATGGTACCCAATGGAACCCAATGGATGCCAATGGCACCCAATGGTACCCAAAGGTACCCAATGGTACCCAATGGCATCCAATGGCATCCAATGGTACCCAATGGTACCCAATGGTACCCAACGGTACCCAATGGCACCCAATGGTACCCAATGGTACCCAATGGCATCCAATGGTACCCAATGGCACCCAATGGCACCCAATGGTACCCAATGGTACCCAATGGCATCAAATGGAACCCAATGGTACCTGAAGGCACCCGATGGAACCCAATGGTACCCAATGGAACCCAATGGATGCCAATGGCACCCAATGGTACCCAATGGTACCCAATGGTACCCAACAGTACCCAATGGCACCCGATGGCACCCGATGGCATCCAATGGTACCCGATGGCACCAAATGGTATCCAATGGTACCCTATGGCACCTGATGGCACCCAATGGCATCCAATGGTACCCAATGGTACCCAATGGCACCCAATGGCACCCAATGGTACCCAATGGCACCCGATGGCGCCCGATGGCATCCAATGGTACCCAACAGCACCCAACGGTACCCAATGCTCCCTACATCACCCAGTGGCACCCAATGGTACCCAATGACATCCAATGGTACCCAACGGCACCCAATGCTCCCTACATCACCCAATGGCACCCAATGGCATCCAATGGTACTCAATGGCACCCAATGCTCCCTACATCACCCAGTGGCACCCAATGGCACCCAATGGTACCCAATAGCACCCAATGCTCCCTACATCACCCAGTGGCACCCAATGGCACCCAATGCTCCCTACATCACCCAGTGGCACCCAAGGGCACCCAATGGCACCCAATGCTCCCTACATCACCCAGTGGCACCCAATGGCACCCAATGCTCCCTACATCACCCAATGGAACCCAATGGCACCCAATGGCACCCAATGCTCCCTACATCACCCAGTGGCACCCAACAGCACCCAATGGCACCCAATGGTACCCAATGGCACCCAATGGTACCCAATGGTACCCAATGGCACCCAATGCTCCCTACATCACCCAGTGGTACCCAATGGTACCCAATGGCACCCAATGCTCCCTACATCACCCAGTGGCACCCAATGGTACCTGGTGCCATCTGGGCAGGGTGTAAAGGGGATGGGCAGGGGGTGGAACAGAAGTGGGTGGTGCTTAATGGAGTGGGCGTGGCTTCTGGGAAGGGGGCGGGGCTGACCGGCAGGTGTAGCAGTGGCCTTGTGGGCGGAGCTTGTAGCCATAGGCGGGGTTGAGGCAGCAGTCAGCCAATGGGACGCGCTCGTCGCTCAGCAGCTCGGCGCAGGCCCCGCCCCCGGCCTCCTCCTCCAATCGGGAGAAGCACCACACGGGCGTGGCCCCTGGGGGGGGGGGTGGGGGGGTGGTCACGGGGTGGGCGGAGCCATGGGTAGGAGGGGCTTAATCCTGTCCCTCCCCCCCCCGATCCCAGTACCCCAAGGCCCCCTGCCTCTTCCTCCCATCCCCTCCCATTGATCCCAGTTTATCCCAGTATATCCCAGTTCCCCAACCCCCCCCTTCCTTCCCATTGCTCCCAGTACATCCCAGTGCTCCCAGTACCCATCCCCTCCCATTGATCCCAGTATCCCCCATTGCTCCCAGTACCCCAACCCCTCCCATTGATCTCAGTTCATCCCAGTGCTCCCAGTACCCCAACCCCCCCCATTGCTCCCAGTTCATCCCAGTGCTCCCAGTTCCCCAACCCCCCAACCCCTCCCATTACTCCCAGTATATCCCAGTACCCGAACCCCCCCCATCCCCTCCCATTGCTCCCAGTTCATCCCAGTGCTCCCAGTACCCATCCCAGTGCTCCCAGTACCCATCCCCTCCCATTGCTCCCAGTATCCCCCAGTGCTCCCAGTACCCATCCCCTCCCATTGCTCCCAGTTCATCCCAGTGCTCCCAGTACCCATCCCCTCCCATTGCTCCCAGTTCATCCCAGTGCTCCCAGTACCCCAACCCCTCCCATTGCTCCCAGTTCATCCCAGTGCTCCCAGTACCCCCCCCATCCCCTCCCATTGTTCCCAGTTCATCCCATTGCTCCCAGTACCCCACGCCCCCCATCCCCCCCCATTGCTCCCAGTTCATCCCATTGCTCCCAGTCCCCCCCCACCCCCTCCCATTGCTCCCAGTTCATCCCAGTGCTCCCAGTCCCCCCCCACCCCCTCCCATTGTTCCCAGTTCGTCCCATTGCTCCCAGTACCAGCGGGGGCCCCCAGCCCAGCGCAGAGCAGGAGCAGGAGCAGCCCCACACGCGCCATGGGGGGGGGGAGGTTGGGGGTGGGGAAGTCGGCTCCTCCCCTCCCCCCCCCCCCGCTCTATTGGGGCCAAGGGGAAGTGGGGGGAGGGGCGAGGCCCCCACCCAGGGGAAGTGGGGGGAGGGGTGGGGGGAAGCCACAACGGTCAGGGTGAAACCCGCCCCTCCCCCCTCCCAGCCCATCCCCCCCCCCCAAATGGGGGGTGCGGCCCCTCCCCCCCCCAAAATAACCCCCAATTTCTCTTTTTTTCATCATTTTATTGGAAAAAAAGCTCAACCCACAACAAAAAGCCCCAAAATCGCGAAGGGAGGGGGGAGGGGGGAGTGGGGGAGGGGCCAAGCGGGGGTTCCCCCCCCCCCCGGCTCTCATTGGGAAACCCCAAGGGGGCGGGGCCTCGGGTAGGGGGCGGGGCTCAGGGTCCCTCGCTGAATCGCGTCACCCCCCCGGGGCGGGGCCGGGTCGGAGCCTGGGGGGGGGGGGGGGAGGGAAATGAGGTCACGTGGGGTCACGGAGGGTCACTCCACCCCACCTGATCACGTGAGATCCCAATGCCCCCCCCCCCCCCCATGTCCTTGTGTCTCTATATGAGACTCCCACATCCACCCCATGGCCCCCCCCATGGCCCCACATCCACCCTATGACCCCCCCATGTCCTCACATGACCCCATGGCCCCACATCCACCCCATAGCCCCCCTCATGACCCCCATCCCCATGACCCCCCCATGACCCCATGACCTGCCCCCCCCCACCCTATGACCCCCCCCATGTCCCTTTATGTCTCCGCTTCTGTCCCCACATGACCCCCCCATATCCTCACATGACCCCAGCCCCCCCCCATGTCCCCCTGACCCCCCATCCGCCCCATGACCCCATGGGTCCCCCCCACCCCATGACCCCCCATGTCCCTTTATGACCCCCCCCCATGACCCCATGACCCCCCACTCCCCACACACACACACACACACACACACACACACACACACACACACACACACACACACACACCAGGCCCCCCCCATGTCCCTTTATGACCCCCCCCATGACCCCCCATGACCCCATGTGTCCCCCCCCATGACCCCATGACCCCCCCTTCTGTCCCCATATGACCCCCCCATATCCTCACATGACCTCAGCCCCCCCCCATGTCCCCCTGACCCCCCATCCGCCCCATGGCCCCCCCCCATGTCCCTTTATGACCCCCCCCATGACCCCCCATGACCCCATGGGTCCCCCCCCATGACCCCCCCAATGACCCCCCCTTATGCCCCCATATGACCCCCCCATGTCCCTTTATGACCCCACCTATGACCACCCATGACCCCATGGCCCCCCCCCCATGACCCCATGGCCTCCCCCATGACCCCCCCATGTCCCTTTATGACCCCCCCATGACCCCACATGACCCCATGGGTCCCCGCCACCCATGACCCCACCCATGTCCCCCCCCCCTCCCATGACCCCCCATGACCCCATGGGTCCCCCTCCCATGACCCCCCCCCATGTCCCTTTATGACCCCCCCCATGACCCCATGACCCCCCATGACCCCCCCTTATGTCCCCATATGACCCCCCCATGTCCCTTTATGACCCCCCCCATGACCCCACATGACCCCATGGGTCCCCCCCACATGACCCCCCCCCATGACCCCCCATGACCCTATGGTTCCCCCCCCATGACCCCCCCTTATGTCCCCATATGACCCCCCCCATGACCCCATGGGCCCTCCCCACCCATGTCCCTTTATGACCCCCCCCATGACCCCATGGGTCCCCCCCCCATGTCCCATTATGACCCCCCCCATGACCCCCCATGACCCCATATGACCCCGCCCCGTGTCATCACGTGACCCCCCCCCCCGGTGACCTCGGGGCGCCTCCGGCCCAGGCCGCTCCCCTCCTTCCAGCCCATGGCCTGCAGCATCCGGCAGCCGAGGGGCAGCGCCGGCTCCGCCTCCCTGCAAGGCCACAGCGCCCCATAGCGCCCCACAGCGCCCCACAGCGCCCCATAGCGCCCCATAGCGCCCCACAGCGCCCCATAGCGCCCCACAGCGCCCCACAGCGTCCACATGGGGGTCCTGAGTGCCCCATAGCGTCCACATGGGGGTCCTGGTCACCCCATGGCGTCCACATGGGGGTCCTGATCACCCCACAGCGCCCCATAGCGTCCACATGGGGGTCCCCAGAGCACCCACATGGGGGTCCCAGCGCCCCACAGCATCCACATGGGGGTCCTGGTCACCCCATAGCGCCCCACAGCATCCACATGGGGGTCCTGATCACCCCACAGCGCCCCATAGCGTCCACATGGGGGTCCTGGTCACCCCATAGCGCCCCATAGCGTCCACATGGGGGTCCTGAGTGCCCCATAGCGCCCCATAGCGTCCACATGGGGGTCCTGGTCACCCCATGGCGTCCACATGGGGGTCCTGATCACCCCACAGCGCCCCATAGCATCCACATGGGGGTCCCCAGAGCACCCACATGGGGGTCCTGATCACCCCACAGCGCCCCATAGCGTCCACATGGGGGTCCCCAGAGCACCCACATGGGGGTCCCAGCGCCCCACAGCATCCACATGGGGGTCCTGGTCACCCCATAGCGCCCCACAGCATCCACATGGGGGTCCTGATCACCCCACAGCGCCCCATAGCGTCCACATGGGGGTCCTGGTCACCCCATAGCGCCCCATAGCGTCCACATGGGGGTCCTGATCACCCCACAGCGCCCCATAGCGTCCACATGGGGGTCCTGAGTGCCCCATAGCGCCCCAGAGCGTCCACATGGGGGTCCCCAGAGCACCCACATGGGGGTCCCAGCGCCCCATAGCGTCCACATGGGGGTCCTGGTCACCCCATAGCGTCCACATGGGGGTCCTGATCACCCCATAGAGCCCCATAGTGTCCACATGGGGGTCCCAGCACCCCATAGCGTCCACATGGGGCTCCTGAGTGCCCCATAGTGCCCCACAGCGTCCACATGGGGGTCCTGATCGCCCCATAGCGCCCCATAGCGTCCACATGGGGGTCCCCAGAGCACCCACATGGGGGTCCTGATCACCCCATAGCGCCCCATAGCGTCCACATGGGGGTCCCCAGAGCACCCACATGGGGGTCCTGAGTGCCCCATAGCGCCCCATAGCATCCACATGGGAGTCCCAGTGCTCCACAGCATCCACATGGGGGTCCTCATAGCACCCACATGGGGGTCCTGATCACCCCATAGCGCCTCATAGCGTCCACATGGGGGTCCCAGCGCCCCACAGCATCCACATGGGGGTCCCAGCACCCCATAGCACCCACATGGGGGTCCCCATAGTACCCACATAGGGGTCCCCATAGCACCCACATGGGGTCCTGATCACCCCATAGCGCCCACTTCTGAGACTCCCAGCACCCACTTTTGCGCCCCCCCCCCCCCCCCGCACCCACTTTTGGGGCCCCCTGGGTTATGGGGGGAGGGGTCAATGGGTGCTCACCCGGAGGTGGGGGAGGGGCCCCCAAACTTGCGCCGTTTGGGCTCGGGGGGGTCGGGGCCCCCCTGCTTCTCCCGGCGCTCGGCTGCGCGGTCCCGGTACTTCATCTGAGGGGAGGGGAGCACCCATGGGTGCCGCCAGCGCCCAGAGGTACCCCCATAGCACCCATAGATAACCCCATAGCACCCATAGCACCCATAGATAACCCCATAGCATCCATAGATAACCCCATAGCATCCATAGCACCCATAGATAACCGCATAGCACCCATAGCACCCATGGGTGCCATCAGCGCCCAGAGGTAACCCCATAGCACCCATAGCACCCATAGATAACGCCATAGCACCCAGATAACCCCATAGCACCCATGGGTGCTGTCAGCACCCAGAGGTAACCCCATAGCACCCATAGGTAACCCCATAGCATCCATAGATAACCCCATAGCACCCATAGATAACCCCATAGCACCCATGGGTGCCGTCAGCGCCCAGAGGTACCCCCATAGCACCCATAGATAACCCCATAGCATCCATAGATAACCCCATAGCACCCATAGATAACCCCATAGCACCCATAGATAACCCCATAGCACCCATGGGTGCCGTCAGCGCCCAGAGGTAACCCCATAGCACCCATAGCACCAATGGGTGCCGTCAGAGCCCACAGATACCCCCATAATGCCCCATAGCACCCATAGATAACCCCATAGCACCCATAGATAACCCCATAAGTGCCCCAGATACCCCCATAAGTGCCCCATAGCACCCATAGATACCCCCCATAAGTGCCCCATAGCACTTATAGCTAACCCCCATAAGTGCCCTATAGCACCCATAGATAACCCCCATAAGTGCCCCATAGATACCCACATAAGTACCCCATAGCACCCATAGATACCCCCATAAGTGCCCCATAGATACCCCCATAGTGCCACATAGCACCCATAGGTGCCCCACAGCACCCATAGATACCCCCATAAGTGCCCCATAGCACCCATAGGTGCCCCATAGCACCCATAGATACCCCCATAAGTGCCCCATAGCACCCATAGGTGCCCCATAGCACCCATAGATACCCCCATAAGTGCCCCATAGCACCCATAGATACCCCCATAAGTGCCCCACAGCACCCATGGGTGCCCCATAGCACCCACAGATAACCCCATAAGTGCCCCATAGCACCCATAGATACCCCCATAAGTGCCCCACAGCACCCATGGGTGCCCCCCACCCACCTCCATGTCGCCCCGGTCCAGCCCCTCGGCGGGGGGGGGTTGATTCCGGCGCTGCAGCTCCAGGTTTTGCTATGGGGCAGGGGGGGGCACAACCACAGTTATGGGGGGGGGGGTCCCCCCAAAGCCTCCCCATTGCCCTGCTGAGGGGTCCCCAAGAGCCCCTATAGGGTCCCCCCCGTACAAAGGGGTCCCCAATGGACACAGGGGGGACCCCCCCATAAGTGGGGTCCCCCCATACAAAGAGCGTCCCCATCGCACACCATGGGGTGTCCCCCCCCCATAGGGCACCACGGGGTTTCCCCCCCATTGCAAGCAGGGGTCCCCCCATTGCACACTATGGGGTCCCTCCCCCCCCATATAGCACCCCACAGGGTCTCTGCCCCCCCCATTGCACACTATGGGGTTCATCCCCGTCCCCCCCCCATATTGCACCCCATGGGGTCTCCATCCCCCCCCCCATTGCACACTATGGGGTCCATCCCCCCCCCCATCCCCCATTGCACCCCATGGGGTCTCCCCCCCCCCACCCCCCCATTGCACCCTATAGGGTGTCCCCCTTCCTATAGGGCACTACGGGGTCTCCCCACCCATTGCACCCCATGGGGTCTCCCCCCCCCCCACCCCCCCATTGCATACTATGGGGTCCATCGTCCCCCCCCCCATAGGGCACCACGGGGTCTCCCCTCCCCATTGCACCCCATGGGGTTTCCATCCCCCCTCCATTGCACCCCATGGGGTCTCCCTCCCCCCCCCCCCCCATTGCACACTATGGGGGTGTCCCCCCACCCCCCCCATCGCACCCCACGGGGTCTCTCCCCCCCATTGCATACAATGGGGTCTCCCTCCCCCCCCTCCCCATCGCACCCCACGGGTTCCCCCCCCATTGCACACAATGGGGTCCATCCCTGTTCCCCCCCCCCACTGCACCCCACGGGGTCCCCACCCCCCCATTGCACACTATGGGGTATCCCCCTTGCTATAGGGCACTATGGGGTCTCCCCCCATACAAGGGCTCCCCATCGCACCCCACGGGTTCCCCCCCCCCCCCATATCGCACCCCATGGGGTCCCTACACCCACCTCCCCATCGCACACAATGGGGTCCCGTCCCCCCCCATTGCACCCCATGGGGTCTCCCTCCCCCCCCCCCCCATGGCACCCCACGGGGTGCCCCCCCCCATTGCACCCCATGGGGCCCCTCCACCCCCCTCACCCCCCCCCATATCGCACCCCACGGGGTCTCCATCCCCCCCCCATTGCACACTATGGGGTCTTCCCCCCCCCCCCCATAGGGCACTACGGGGTCTCCCCCCCCCCCCATTGCACCCCATGGGGTCCCTCCACCCCCCCCCCCATTGCACCCCACGGGTTCCCCCCCCCCATAGGGCACTACGGGGTCTCCCCCCCCCATTGCACCCCATGGGGTCTCCCCCCCCCCATTGCACCCCATGGGTTCTCCGCCCCCCATATCACACCCCATGGTTCCCCCCATAGACACCCCCCATAGCACCCATAGATACCCCATAAGTGCCCCATAGATACCCCCATAGTGCCCCATAGCACCCATAGATACCCCCTAAGTGCCCCAGAGATACCCCCATAAGTGCCCCATAGATACCCCCATAGTGCCCCATAGCACCCAGAGATAACCCCCCCCATAAGTGCCCCATAGATACCCCCATAAGTGCCCCCTAGCACCCACAGATAACCCCATAGTGCCCCATAGCACCCATAGGTGCCCCCTAGCACCCACAGATAACCCCAGAGTGCCCCACAGCACCCACAGATACCCCCATAAGTGCCCCCTAGCACCCACAGATACCCCCATAGTGCCCCATAGCACCCATGGGTGCCCCACAGCACCCACAGATACCCCCATAGTGCCCCATAGATACCCCCATAGGTGCCCCCTGGCACCCACAGATACCCCCATAAGTGCCCCACAGCACCCACAGATAACCCCAGAGTGCCCCACAGCACCCATAGGTGCCCCCTAGCACCCACAGATACCCCCATAAGTGCCCCATAGCACCCATAGGTGCCCCACAGCACCCACAGATACCCCCATAAGTGCCCCATAGCACCCATGGGTGCCACACAGCACCCACAGATAACCCCATTAAGTGCCCCATAGCACCCATAGGTACCCCCTAGCACCCACAGATACCCCCATAAGTGCCCCACAGCACCCATGGGTGCCCCACAGCACCCACAGATAACCCCATAAGTGCCCCATAGCACCCATGGGTGCCCCACAGCACCCACAGATAACCCCATAAGTGCCCCATAGCACCCATAGGTGCCCCACAGCACCCACAGATAACCCCATAAGTGCCCCATAGCACCCATAGGTGCCCCACAGCACCCACAGATAACCCCATAAGTGCCCCATAGCACCCATAAGTGCCCCATAGATACCCCCATAGTGCCCCATAGCACCCATAGATACCCCCATAGTGCCCCATAGCACCCATAGATAACCCCCCCCATAAGTGCCCCATAGCACCCATGGGTGCCCCACAGCACCCACAGATACCCCCATAGTGCCCCATAGATACCCCCATAGTGCCCCATAGCACCCATAGATAACCCCCCCCCATGGCGCCCCACGGGGTCTCCGCGCCGCTCCCGCAGGGGCTCTCACCCGGTGCAGCCCCGAGAGCTGCCGGTGCCGCAGGAGCGCGGCGCGCGTGGGGAACTGGCGGCGGCAGAGCAGGCACGCGAGCTTCAGCCAATCAGGGAGCGCCTCGGGGCCTCGCTCCGCCCCTCGCTCCGCCTCCTCCTCGCTCTCGCTCTCCCCGCTGTAGGCGGCGACGAGCCCGCGGGGGGGGCTCTGAGGGAGCCAATGGGAGGGAGGAGTTGGAGGGGGGGAGCCAATGGGAGAGAGCCAATGGGAGGGAGGGAGCCAATGGGAGGGAACCAATGGGAGGGAGGCGTTGGGGAGGGAGCCAATGGGAGGGAGGTGTTGGAGGGGAGGAGCCAATGGGAGAGAGCCAATGGGAGGGAGGAGTTGGGGAGGGAGCCAATGGGAGGGAGCCAATGGGAGGGAGGCGTTGGAGGGGGGGGAGCCAATGGGAGGGAGCCAATGGGAGGGAGGAGTTGGGGAGGGAGCCAATGGGAGGGAGCCAATGGGAGAGAGGCGTTGGGGGGAGGGAGCCAATGGGAGAGAGCCAATGGGAGGGAGCCAATGGGAGGGAGGTGTTGGAGGGGGGGAGCCAATGGGAGGGAGGGAGCCAATGGGAGGGAGGTGTTGGAGGGGGGAGCCAACGGGAGGGAGCCAATGGGAGGGAGGTGTTGGGGAGGGAGCCAATGGGAGGGAGGGAGCCAATGGGAGGGAGGTGTTGGAGGGGGGAGCCAACGGGAGGGAGCCAATGGGAGGGAGGTGTTGGGGAGGGAGCCAATGGGAGGGAGGTGTTGGGGAGGGAGCCAATGGGAGGGAGGCGATGGAGGGGGGAGCCAATGGGAGGGAGACATTGGAGGGGGGCGCCAATGGGAGGGAGGGAGCCAATGGGAGGGAGGCATTGGGGAGGGAGCCAATGGGGGGGCGGCATTGGAGGAGGGAGAGCCAATGGGAGGGCGCCAGGAAGGAAGGGAGCCAATGGGAGGGCGGCATTGGGGGAGGGGGAACCAATGGGGGGGGCATCAGTGGGGGGGAACCAATGGGGGGGGATCAATGGGGCAGAAGCAATGGGGGGGATCAATGGGGGGGTCAATGGGGGGATCAGTGGGTGAGGATCAATGGGGAGGAATCAATGGGGGGGTCAATGGGGGGATCAATGGGGGGGATCAATGGGGGGATCAATGGGGGGGATCAATGGGGGGATCAATGGGGGGGGGGGAATCAATGGGGGCAATGGGGGGATCAATGGGGGGATCAATGGGGGGGATCAATGGGGGGCACCAATGGGGGGGTCAATGGGGGGGATCAATGGGGGGATCAATGGGGGGGAATCAATGGGGGGGTTAATGGGGGGATCAATGGGGGGGTCAATGGGGGATCAATGGGGGGCACCAATGGGGGGCACCCATGGGTGGGGGCTCACCAGCCGCTCGTCACTCGCCAGCTTGGGCAGCTCAATGGGTGGGTGCTGCCGCTCAGCCAGAGCACCCTGGGGGGGGGAGGGGGCAAGGTTAGGGGGCACCCATGGGTGCTGGGGGGGGGTGGATATGGGGTGCTCCCTGCAGCCCCATTGCTCTCCTATGAGCAGCACCCATGGCTCCCCCCCTGCTATAGGTCCCCAGCGCACCCTATGGCACCCACAGCACCCTGTTACCAGCACCCATATCCCCCATGCCTCCCAGGAACAGCACCCATAGCTGCCTGCTGCGTTCTAGAGCACCCATAGCACCCCATTACCAGCACCCATACTCCTCCACCCTGACACCCATAACTGCCACCTATACTCTCCATAGCACCCACACCCCCTATAGCACCCGTATCTCCTACATCACCCACACTCCCCATAGCCCCAACCCGCCCCATAGCACCCACCCCCCCATTGCACCCACACCCCCATAGCACCCACCCCCCATAGCACCCATACCTCCCATACCCCCCATAGAACCCACCCCACCCATACCCCCATAGCACCCATTCCCCCCCAGCACCTATATCTCCTATAGCACCCATAACACCCATCCCCCCCCATAGCACCCATATCTCCCATAGCACCCATCCCCCCCATAGCACCTATATCTCCTACAGCACCCATAGCACCCATCCCTCCCATAGCACCCATCCCCCCATAGCACCCAACCCCCCCCCAGCACCCATAGCACCTATATCTTCCATAGCACCCCTAGCACCCATAGCACCCCTAGCACCCCTAGCACCTATATCACCCCCTAGCACCCCTAGCACCCATCCCCCCCATAGCACCCCTAGCATCCATAGCACCTATATCACCCCCTAGCACCCCTAGCACCTATATCTTTCATAGCACCCCTAGCACCCATAGCACCTATATCACCCCCTAGCACCCCTGGCACCTATATCACCCCCTAGCACCCCTAGCACCCCTAGCACCCCTAGCATCTATATCTTCCATAGCACCCCTAGCACCCCTAGCACCCCTAGCACCTATATCACCCCCTAGCACCCCTAGCACCTATATCTTCCATAGCACCCCTAGCACCCATAGCACCTATATCACCCCCTAGCACCCCTAGCACCCATAGAACCTATATCTTCCATAGCACCCCTAGCACCCATAGCACCCCTTAGTACCCCTAGCACCCATAGCACCCGTATCTTCCATAGCACCCCTAGCACCCATAGCACCTATATGACCCCCTAGCACCCATAGCACCCCTAGCACCCATAGCACCTATATGACCCCCTAGCACCCATAGCACCTATATCTTCCATAGCACCCCTAGCACCCCTAGCACCCATAGCACCTATATCTTCCATGGCACCCATAGCACCCCATAGCACCCATAGCACCCCTAGCACCCCTAGCACCCATAGCACCCATAGCACCTATATCACCCCCTAGCACCCCTAACACCCATAGCACCTCTATCTTCCATGGCACCCCTAGCACCCCTAGCACCCCTAGCACCCCTAGCACCCATAGCACCTATATCACCCCCTAGCACTCATAGCACCCATACCACCTATATCTTCCATAGCACCCCCTAGCACCCATAGCACCCCTAGCACCCATAGCACCCCATAGCACCCATATCACCCATAGCACCCATAGCACCCCTAGCACCCATAGCACCCATATCTTCCATGGCACCCCTAGCACCCCTAGCACCCCATAGCACACATAGCACCTATATCTTCCATGGCACCCCTAGCACCCATAGCACCTATATCTTCCATGGCACCCCTAGCACCCATAGCACCTATATCACCCCCTAGCACCCATAGCACCCCTAGCACCCATAGCACCTATATGACCCCCTAGCACCCATAGCACCTATATCTTCCATAGCACCCCTAGCACCCCTAGCACCCATAGCACCTATATCTTCCATGGCACCCATAGCACCCCATAGCACCCATGGCACCCCTAGCACCCCTAGCACCCCTAGCACCCCTAGCACCCATAGCACCCCATAGCACCCATATCACCCATATCTTCCATAGCACCCATAGCACCCCATAGCACCCATGGCACCCCTAGTACCCATAGCACCCCTAGCACCCATAGCACCTATATCTTCCATAGCACCCTTAGCACCCGCCAGCACCCATGGGTGCACCTTCTTCTCGAGGATGGCGTAGCCGGCGTCGGCGGCGGCCGCCTCGCGCCGCTCGTCCTCGCGGGGGGGAGGGGGGGGCCCCGCGCTGCGCCCGCTCTCGCGCTGCTTGTTGAGGCTGCGCGCCCAGCGCTCCATGTCCTTGGCGATCTGAGCACCCATGGGGGGGGAGGGGAGCACCCGTGGGGGGGGGAGGGGGGGCACACCCGTGGGTGGGGGGAGGGGAGCACCCATGGGTGGGGGTCATCTACGGGAGGGGGTCCCCGGGAGGCACCCATGGGTGGGGGTCATGGGGAGCACCCATGGGTGGGGGTCATGGGGAGCACCCATGGGTGGGGGGAGGGGGGGGCACCCATGGCGGGGGAGGGGGGGCACCCGTGGGTGGGGGGAGGGGAGCACCCATGGGGGGGGGGAGGGGGGGGTCAGGATGGGGGGGGCACCCATGGGGGGGGAGGGGAGCACCCATGGGGGGAGGGAGCACCCATGGGTGGGGGGAGGGGAGCACCCGTGGGTGGGGGGAGGGGAGCACCCATGGGGGGGGAGGGGGGGGCACCCATGGAGGGGGGGAGGGGAGCACCCATGGGGGGGGAGGGGAGCACCCATGGGGGGGGAGGGGGGGAGCACCCATGGGTGCTATTGGGGTTGATGAGGACCCATAGGGGTTGCTGGGCACCCATGGGTGCTATTGGGCTGGATGTGGAACCATGGGGGCTATTGGGGGGGGATGAGGACCCATAGGGGTTACTGAGCACCCATGGGTGCTGCTGGGGGGTGGGATCCATATGATCCCATTGTGTTCGGGGTGTGGGGGGGTATGGATGTGTGTGCCCATGATAACGGGGTGCTCCCCTCCCCCCCCCCCCAATGGGTGCTGTGGTGGGGGTGGGGGCGCAGCACCCATGGGTGCTCACCTGCTGCGCTGTCTTGGTCTTGTGCTTCTCCTTCTTGTCCTTGGGCTCCTTGGGGGGCCCGGGGGGGCCGGGGGGGGGCTCGGCGGGGGGGGCGGCCACGTAGGTGCGGCGCTCCCCATCCCAGTACAGGTACTGCCCGGTGCCGGCATCGTAATAGTACTGATGGGGGGGGTCAGGGTGGGGGTCAGGGTGGGGGGCACCCGAAAATACCCCCCTCTGATGCATTGCAATGACCCCCCCCCCATAGACACCTAAATGGTCCCTGCCCCCATTAACCCCCCCCATAGACCCCTAAATGGTGCCTCCCACCCTTAACCCCCCCCATAGACCCCTAAATGGTCCCTCCCCCATTCCCCCCCCATAGACACCTAAATGGTCCCTGCCCCCATTAACCCCCCCCCATAGGCCCCTAAATGGTTCCTCCCCCCCCTTACCCCACCCATAGACCCCTAAATGGTCCCTTCCCCCGCTTAACCCCCCCCATAGACCCCTAAATGGTCCCTCCCCCCCTCAACCCCCCCTCCATAGACCCCTAAATGGTCCCTCCCCCCCCTTAAGCCCCCCCATAGACCCCTAAATGGTCCCGTCCAACCCCACCCCCCCCATAGACCCCTAAATGGTCCCTCCCCCCCCAAAGACCCCTAAATGGAACCTCCCCCCTTCAACCCCCCCCATAGACACCTAAATGGTCCCACCCCCCCTCAACCCCCCCTCCATAGACCCCTAAATGGTCCCTCCCCCCCTCAAATCCCACACATAGACCCCAAATGGTCCCTCCCCCCCCCCCAACTCTCCCCATAGACCCCTAAATGGTCCCTTCCCCCCCTCAAAACCCCCACAGATCCCTAAATGGTCCCTTCCCCCCCTCAACCCCCCCCATAGACCCCTAAATGGTCCCTCCCCCTGCCCAAAATCCCCCCCATAGACCCCTAAATGGTCCCTCCCCCCCGCAAGACCCCTAAATGGAACCTCCCCCCCTCAACCCCCCCCCTTTTGACCCCTAAATGGTCCCTCCCCCCCATAGACCCCTAAATGGTCCCTCCCCCCGCCCAAAATCCCCCCCATAGACCCCTAAATGGTCCCTCCCCACCTCAAATCCCACACATAGACCCCAAATGGTCCCTCCTCCCCCAAACCCCCCCATAGACACCTAAATGGTCCCTTCTCCCCCTTAACCCCCCCATAGACCCCTAAATGGTCCCTCCCCCCCCAAACCCCCCCATAGACCCCTAAATGGTCCCTCCCCCCCTTAACCCCCCCACAGACCCCTAAATGGTCCCTCCCCCCCCCTTAACCCCCATAGCCCCCTAAATGGTCCCTTCCCCCCCTTAACCCCCCCATAGACCCCTAAATGGTCCCTCCCCCCCTTAACCCCCCCATAGACCCCTAAATGGTCCCTTCCCCCCCTTAACCCCCCCATAGACCCCTAAATGGTCCCTCCCCCCCCAAACCCCCCCATAGACCCCTAAATGGTCCCTCCCCCCCTCAACCCCCCCCATAGACTCCTAAATGTTCCTTCCCCCCCTCAACCCCCCCCATAGACCCCTAAATGGTCCCTTCCCCCCCTCAAAACCCCCATAGACCCCTAAATGGTCCCTTCCCCCCCTTAACCCCCCCCATAGACCCCTAAATGGTCCCTTCCCCCCCTTAACCCCCCCATAGACCCCTAAATGGTCCCTTCCCCCCCTTAACCCCCCCATAGACCCCTAAATGGTCCCTTCCCCCCCTTACCCCCCCCATAGACCCCTAAATGGTCCCTTCCCCCCCCCTTTCCATGGGGCAGAAGGTTTGGGGGATGAATAAGGTTTTGGGGTGAAAAACGGGCGTTTGGGGGCTTTGAAAGGGGGAGGATGGGGGAGGAAGGGACCAGGTTGGGGTCCATGGGGGGGGGGAGGGACCATTTAGGGGTCTATAGGGGGTGTTAAGGGGGGGAGGGACCATTTAGGGGTCTATGGGGGTTTTGAGGGGGGGAAGGGACCATTTAGGGGTCTATGGGGGGGGTTAAGGGGGGGAAGGGACCATTTAGGGGTCTATGGGGGTTTTGAGGGGGGGAAGGGACCATTTAGGGGTCTATGGGGGGGGTTAAGGGGGGGAAGGGACCATTTAGGGGTCTATGGGGGGGTTAAGGGGGGGAAGGGACCATTTAGGGGTCTATGGGGGGGGTTAAGGGGGGGGAGGGACCATTTAGGGGTCTATAGGGTTAAGGGGGGGAAGGGACCATTTAGGGGTCTATGGGGGGGGTTAAGGGGGGGGAGGGACCATTTAGGGGTCTATGGGGGGGGTTAAGGGGGGGGGAGGCCCCATTTTGCCCCCCAGAAGCACCCACCTGGGAGTGGGGATCGTAATAGAGCCCGGTGAGGGGGTCGTAGTAATAGCCGGAGGTCTCATCGTATTGATAGGTGGAGACATCAGGGACCGCTATGGGGCAGGAAAGGGGGTCATGGGGGGGGGGGTGTCCCCATATATTGGGGACCCCCCCACCTCAATAAGGATCCCCCTTAGAACACTCTATAGGATCCCATTCGACCCCTGCCCCATAACCCCTATAGACCCCCCCATAACCCCTATAGACCCCCCATAGCCCCTATAGATCCCCCCATAGCCCCTATAGAGCCCCCCTTGACCCCTATAGATCCCCCCATAACCCCTATAGACCCCCCATAACCCCATAGACCCCCCACATAACCCCTATAGATCCCCCCATAACCTCTACAGACCCCCCATAACCCCTATAGATGCCCCCATAACCCCTATAGACCCCCCCATAACCCCCATAGACCCCCCCATAACCCCTATAGACCCCCACCATAACCCCTATAGAACCCCATAACCCCTATAGACCCCCCATAACCCCTATAGACCCCCCCCATAACCCCTATAGAACCTCCATAACCCCTATAGAACCCCCCCATAACCCCCATAGACCCCCCCATAACCCCCATAGACCCCCCCATTCCCCCCCCATACTCACGGTACTGTCCATAGGGCTCAGAGCTGGGGGGGGCCGTGGGGGGGGGCCCGCTGGGGGCTGGGCTGGGGGTCTCAGCCTTGAGGGGCCCTGTATAAGCCTTGGGGGGGGGGGGGGGGGATGCACCTTGATTTAACCCCCCCTGAACCCCAAAACCCCCCCATATTACCCCATAACCCCCCATTATTGCCCCCCCCTTAATTATCCCCCCAATCACCCCATAAGCCCCCATTATTGGCCCCCCCCCTTCTCATCCCCCCCCCCAACTTATGGGGCCTCCCATTTCCTCCCCACATTTTGCCCCCCCCCCCCTTTTTGGGGACCCTCCCAACATTATCCCAGAGACCCCAACATCCCCCCCCCATTGACACCCCCCCCCCATTGACCCCATCTTTATGGGTGCCCCCCCCCCCCCTTTTACATACCTGGGGGGGGGCACCCTGTGGGGCAGCACTGGGGGTCTCAGCAGTGGGGGGGGGATAAGAGGGCGCCCCTTGGGGGGGGCGGGAGAAGGGGCCCCCCCCCGCTGTGTGCTCGAGGCTCAGCACTGGGGGCTCCTCCACACCTGGGGGGGGGGGTTCATGTGTTAATATAGGGTGCTGCTCCCCCCCCATTGAGCCCCACACTTGGGGGTCCCACCTATGGGGTGCCCCACACAATGGGGACTTATGGAGAAGGGGGGGTGCCCAATACAATGGGGTCCTATTTGGGGGGGTGCCCCACACAATGGGGTCCTATGGGGGGGTGCCCCACACAATGGGGTCCTATGGGGGGGGTGCACCACACAATAGGGTCCTATGGGTCGGGGGTGCCCCACACAATGGGGTCCTATGGGTAGGGGGTGCCCCACACAATGGGGTCCTATGGGTCAGGGGTGCCCCACACAATGGGGTCCTATGGAGAATGGGGGAGGGGGTGCCCCACACAATGGGGTCCTATGGGTAGGGGGTGCCCCACACAATGGGGTCCTATGGAGAATGGGGGGCATACCCCACACAATGGGGTCCTATGGGTCAGGGGTGCCTCACACAATGGGGTCCTATGGGTAGGGGGTGCCCCACACAATGGGGTCCTATGGAGAATGGGGGGCATACCCCACACAATGGGGTCCTATGGGTCAGGGGTGCCTCACACAATGGGGTCCCATGGGTAGGGGGTGCCCCACACAATGGGGTCCTATGGGGGGTGTGTGACCCATACAATGGGGTCCTGTCGAGAAGGGGTGCCCCACACAATGGGGTCCTATGGGGGTGGGTGCCCCACACAATGGGGTCCTATGGGTCAGGGGTGCCTCACACAATGGGGTCCCATGGGTAGGGGGTGCCCCACACAATGGGGTCCTATGGGGGTGGGTGCCCCACACAATGGGGTCCTATGGAGATTGGGGGAGGGGGTGCCCCACACAATGGGGTCCTATGGGTCAGGGGTGCCTCACACAATGGGGTCCCATGGGTAGGGGGTGCCCCACACAATGGGGTCCTATGGGGGTGTGTGACCCATACAATGGGGTCCTATGGAGAAGAGGGGGGGGCACTCACCAGGGGCGGGGCCATCAGCCTTGGGAGGGGCGGGGCCAGAGTGGGTGGGGCCAGGGGGCGGGGCGGCGGAGCCCTTCAGGTAGGCGGAGCCGTAGAGGGAAGGGGCGGGGCCGCTGAAGGTCTCCTCTGATTGGTAGAAGCTGCCAAAGTCGCTGGGAGGCTCCTCCCCCCCGGCCCACGTGGTGTCAGAGCCAGGGGCGGCCTGCGGGAAGGGGGCGGGGCCACGTCAGGACACGCCCCCCCCCAGCCCCTCCCACCCCTTACCCACACCAATCCCTTATAAGGAAACACCCCACACTTAAAGCCCCGCCCAGCCTCAAGTCAAGTCCCGCCCCCCCCGTAGCCCCGCCCCTCCCTTAGCCCCGCCCCTCCCCTAAGCCCCGCCCACCTGGGACAGCGCCCATTGGGCGGCGGCGATGGCGGTCGAGGCGACGGAGGCGGCGCTGGCGCGGGGGGGGCCCTCCCCTGGCCCCGCCCCCTGCGCCTCCCTGGGGGCGGGGTCATGGCCGCGGCTCAGGGGTGGGGCCTCGCTGCAGGGGGCGGGGCCAGGGACGGGACGGGGCGGGGTTTAGTGCGGTGGGTGGGGCTAAAGGGCAGTGGGGGGGTGGTGTCTGTGGGTGGAGCTTAGTGGTGGTGTGGGCGGAGCTAAGGGGCACAGGGCGGGGCCTTAATGCTGTTCTATTGGCTGAGCCTTGTTGAGGGCGTGGCCTAAGGAAGGGCCGAGGGCGGGGCTTAGGGAGTCCCATGGGGAGGGGTCATGCAAGGGAAGGTGGATGGGGCTTGGGGGCGGGGCTTAAGAAGGGGTGGAGCCTAAGGGGGTGGTGCCTAAAGGGGAGGGGTTAAGGGAACATGGCCTGAAGGGGTGGGACTTAAAGAGGAGTGGAGATAAATGGGTGTGGCCTGAAGGGGTGGGGCTTAAGGGGGTGTGGTCTGAAGGGGACATAAAGGGGGGCGTGGCTTAAGGAGGTGTAGCCAGAAGGGAGTGTGGCCTGAAGGGGGCGTGGCCTAAAAGGGCGGGGCGCGAATACGGGAGGAGCTTAAGAGGGCGTGTTCTAAGTGTGCGTGGTCTAATGGGAGGTGTGGCCTAACGGGACAAGGCTTAAGGAGGGGAGGAGATCAAGGTGGGTGTGGCTTAAGTAGGCGTGGTCTAATGGGAGGTGTGGCCTAACAGGACAGGGCTTAAGGGGAAGAGGAGCTTAAGGGGGTGTGGCCTGAAGGGGGCGTGTCCTAACGGGACATGGCTTAAGAAGGGGAGGAGCTTAAGGGTGGGAGAGAGGCGTGACCTGAAGTGGGCGCAGCCTGGAGTGGGCGTGGCCTCACGGGACAGGGCGTAAGGAGGGGAGGAGCTTAAGGGGGTGCGGTCTGAAGGGGGCGTGTCCTAATGGGACAAGGCTTAAGGAGGGGAGGAGCTTAAGGGGGCGTGTCCTGAAGGAGGGGGCGTGTCCTGGAGGGGGGCGTGTCCCGAAGGAGGGGGCATGTCCTGAAGGAGGGGGTATGTCCTGAAGGAGGGGGAGGGGGGCGTGTCCTGAAGGAGGGGGCGTGTCCCGAAGAAGGGGGCGTGTCCTGAAGGAGGGGGGCGTGTCCCGAAGGAGGGGGGCGTGTCCTGAAGGAGGGGGCGTGTCCCGAAGAAGGGGGGCGTGTCCCGAAGGAGGGGGCGTGTCCTGAAGGAGGGGGCGTGTCCCGACGAAGGGGGCGTGTCCCGCAGGAGGGGGCGTGTCCCGAAGGAGGGGGCGTGTCCTGAAGGAGGGGGCGTGTCCCGAAGGAGGGGGCGTGTCCCGAAGGAGGGGGCGTGTCCTGAAGGAGGGGGGCGTGTCCCGAAGGAGGGGGCGTGTCCTGAAGGAGGGGGGCGTGTCCCGATGGAGGGGGCGTGTCCCGACGAAGGGGGCGTGTCCCGAAGGAGGGGGCGTGTCCCGAAGAAGGGGGCGTGTCCTCACCGCTTGGAGCCCTTGGCGAACTCCACGTTGATGCTCTTGCCGTCGATGTGCAGCGGGGGGTGCAGCGCCTGCAGCATCTGCAGCAGCTGCGAGGCCTCCTATGGGGCGCCCCATAAGCAGCGCGAGGCGGTTGGATTGGCCCCCACCCCGCCCCGCCCCGCCCCACGCCGCCCCATAGGGCGCTGAGCACCCACCACGATGGTGCTGAGCTGCACGAAGGCGAAGCCGCGGTTGAGCTGGGTCTGGCGGTCCTTGATGACGCGGACGTTGGCGGCCGAGAGCGCGGCGAAGGGGGCGAGCGCGGTCAGGATGGACTCCAGGCTGCTCTGGGGGTGCAGGTTGCGGAGGATGATGGCTGCGGGGGGGGGAGAGAGGAGAAAGGGGGCTGGGACCCATAGAGCTCCCCATAGGGAAGCGCGAAGAGCTGGTAATAGAGCTCCTCATAAAGCATCACATTGAGCATCGTGTTGAGCATCCTGTTGAGCATCCCATAGAGGATCCCATAGAGCATCCCATAGAGCATCCCATAGAGCACCCAAAAGCGCATCCCATTGAGCATCCTGTTGAGCACCCCATAGAGCATCCCATAGAGCACCTCATAGAGCTCCCCATAGGGGAGCCCGTAGAGCACCCAATAGAGTAGCCAATAGAGCATCTTATAAAGCACCCCATAAAGCATCCCATTGAGCATCCTGTTGAGCACCCCATAGAGCATCCCATAGAGCATCCCATTGAGCATTCTGTTGAGCACCCCATAGAGCATCCCATAGAGCATCTCATAGGGCAGCCCATAGTGTGTCCCATAGAGCACCTCATAGAGCTCCGCATAGAGAACCCCATAGAGCACTCCATTGAGCATCCCATAGAGCATCCCATAGAGCAGCCAATAGAGCAGCCCATAGAGCATCTTATAGAGCATCCCATAGAGCACCCTATAGAGCATCCCATAAAGCACCCCATAGAGCATCCCATAGAGCATCCCATAGAGCATCCCATAGAGCATCCCATAAAGCATCCCATATGGAGACCCATAACCCCCCCTTGGGCACCCATGACACCCCAATAACCCCACCTTAGACCCACATAAGACCCCCCTGGGCACCCATAACCCCCCCTTAGGCACCCATAACCCCCCCTTAGGCACCCATAGCCCCCCCTAGAGCACCCATAGCCCCCCTTAGGCACCCATAACCCCCCATAGGCACCAACAGCCCCCCCTTGAGCACCCATTAACCCCCCGTTGAGCACCCATAACCCCCCCTTGAGCACCCATAACCCCCCCACAGGCACCCATAACCCCCCCTTGAGCACCCATAACCCCCCCTAGAGCACCCATAAGCCCCCCTAGAGCACCCATAACCCCCCATAGATACCCATAACCCCCCCTAGAGCACCCATAGCCCCCCCTAGAGCACCCATAGCCCCCCCTTGAGCACCCATAGCCCCCCCTTGAGCACCCATAGCCCCCCCTAGAGCACCCATAACCCCCCCTTGAGCACCCATAGCCCCCCCTTGAGCACCCATAGCCCCCCCTAGAGCACCCATAGCCCCCCCTTGAGCACCCATAACCCCCCCTAGAGCACCCATAACCCCCCTTAGGCACCCATAACCGCCCCCATAACCCCCCCTAGAGCACCCATAGCCCCCCTTGAGGCACCCATAGCCCCCCTAGAACACCCATAGCCCCCCTAGAGCACCCATAACCCCACCCATAGCCCCCCTAGAGCACCCATAACCCCCCCTTAGGCACCCATAACCCCCCCTAGAGCACCCATAACCCC